GTCAGAATTATTAATTAATTTTTAATAACTTGCCTAATTAACCTAGTTAAGCCTTTAAATGACACTTTAAGCTGTATAGAAGTGTCTTGAAAAAAAGCTAGTAAAATATTATGTACTGTCATCATGGCAAAGATAAAATAAATCAGTTATGAGAAATGAGTTATTAAAACTATTATGTATAAAAATGTGTTAAAAAAATATTCTCTCCTTGAAACAGAAATTGGGGGAAAAAATAAACAGGCGGGCTAATAATTCAGGGAGACTAATAATTCTTCAACTGTATATTCTATTTTTTAAATTTAGATATTCTTATAAAATAAGCTAAGATTCTACATCTTAAATCTATATGTTCACTCAAAAAATGTGTGATGTTTTTTTTAAGTACTTATTTAAAATTAGCTGAAATAACACAATTCTTGAGTATTTTTAAAAACTTAATAGCTTTCTGTTCAATTCACTTTTTAACAAATTTGTTAAAAAACGAAAACGTTAACTTAATTACTTAACTCTTTGACTGCCACTCTACCATACTGTTGACCATGTTTTTACTGTTTTAAATAACGGTTTACACACACACACCATTGATCATTTCCAAAAAAAAAAAAAAAAAAAACATAATTCTGTTGCACTACAACACTTGACTTAGTTTTTTTGTAAAAAAAAAACAAAAATAAAGAAAAGAAAAGAAAACATGTTAAATGAGAATTAGAAATATTTTATGGCGTACTTCAAAAAATAAGGGTGACTTAGTATTCAAAAATGTTTTGTCATGAATATTTAAAATAAATTGGTCTTACACTTCATATTTTTAGAATTTGCATAGTATAATAAATGTATTAATTCCGCTACTTTTACCATAAACCGACATATTAACCATCTGGTAGAGGTTGATATTTTAGAAATTATGAGATGTGCTGAAAAAATGTATTGAGTCTATTAACTAGCGACATTAGGAGTTGAGCAATGCAATCCAAACATTTTTTCTTAGTGGGATAGTTAAAGGGTTAATGTCGTCTCAACACAAATTGATCATTTTTTTTACAGTGCTTACGATGTACACTCATAAAGTCATTTATTACATCTACGAAGGTAAAAATCCATTTACTACACTATGACTTTTAACACACACATTTTATCTTTACAGTTTTCCTGTTAATTTTCTCTCTTTAATTAAACAGCTTCTCCTTGTCTTATAATTGTTCTTCACGTCATTCAAGATAATGGAGTGCATATGTTTCAGGACTCAAAATTCGCATCGAACACAAAGTTAACTGACAGTGATTTAAATCATGATCGTCTATTCAGTTCTAAAATAAAATCTAAACACCCCCAGGAGGATTTGACTGTTGCTAAATAAGCGGCTAGCATTGAAGCGTGAGTGTACCTGGCTGCGGATCGGAGTAATCTACCGTATATCCGTCTAACTGCATTAGCTCATGCGGCTCCGACTTCTTCTCCCGGTAACTGCACATAGCAAACGTGTACTGACTCACCTGAACAAGAGACAGAGGATATTGCTGTTACATGATCGCTGCTTTCAATCTCAAGCACATATTATGGACATTGATTTATAGCTGTATTTTACTTGTAATTAGTTTACAAAATTGATTTTGCACAACAAAACTCTCTTGATTTGTGTAAACATTAAATCAAAATGACTAAATATCAATTCTATAATTTAATATTTATTAATATTAATTTAAAAATGATTACAAACTAGAACTCATACATGAACACAGATTTTATTATATATAGTTTAATGCCTGTCATCATCTCAATAAGATGATAGTTATGAATAATAGTGATTTAGCTTATGTTTGGATTAAAAAAAAATCCTCCTTTAGGCAATTAAAAATTGCTAAATTACAGCATTTTAATCAAATAAAATTAAATATCAACATGTAAAAAACGTGTACATTAAATAAACTCATCAAAAAGTCAAAAGATTAATTTATTGAAAGCAAACAAACAAGCAAGCAAATCAAATCATTTCTGCCCACCTGAACAAGAACAAAATATCTCCTCTTCCATCGCTTCCAGACTCTCTGGCCTAAGGCATAAAGATACCTACAGAAAAACAAAACAAAACAAACAAACAGCATTATGATAAATCTTATAAATGAATTACATTAACCACAGAAAAGTGCTTTGATTTTATTTTCGTTTCTTTCTTCTTTGTTTAGCTCACAGAGAGAAAACAATCATGTATCGTATGAAACCATAATAATATAGAACATTTATGGAGTTTGATTGAAACATAAAAAAATAGATTTTAAGCTGATATTAAATATATAAAATATTGCATCTCCAAAGTATCTTGCAAAAGAAATCTTGCAAAAGATTATCAAAATTTCTAAATTATAGGTAAGCCTCAAATCCCTGAATTTGAGTTAAATTAACAGTTTCACTTAAGCATCATAACTTTACAGTAGTCACATAGATGATGCAATAATTATTAGGAATGTGCACAATTATAAGGTAACAAAACAATTATCAACTATGATTATAAGTTTTTTTTTCTGAATTTGAAAACTTGTCAGATACAGTAGGGAACTCATTTTTAAATCTAGCCTATAAAAATAATAGATAGTACTCAGTAAATATGAGAATGCCTATACACAGGATGAGCATGCACAGAATGCATTCACAATACAGCAAGAGCAAAATAAATAAATAAATAAATAAATAAATAAATAAATAAATAAATAAATAACATATTCCAAATGAATGAAATGGATCATTCCATCTTTCAACAGGCTCTTTAAAAAAACTATTCATAATACATCACATATAATAAAACAAGAGACAGCAGTGAAGCATATAGCATTCACGCTTATCATAATAATAATAATATAGAACATTTATGTAGTTTGAACGAAACGTTCTTATAAACAAAATAATTTAAATCTGATTTTAATGTATAAAATTTTGAATCGCTCAAAATATCCTGCAAAATAAATCTTGCAGAAAATTATACTCTCTAAAAAAACTTCACAATTTCTAACTTATAGGAAAGTCTCTGCCTAAAATCCCTTAATTTAAGACTGATTTAATGACTTCATGGAGCTATTACAAAAATCAACGGTTTCACTTAAGTATCATAACTTAACAGTAGTCACATATAATAGATGATGCTATTATTATAAGGAATGTGCACAATTACAAGGCGACAAAACATTTATCAATCATGATTATACAGCTATTTTTTTCGGAATTTGAAAACTTATAAACATGGCAGATAGCAAATTCATTTTAAATTGAGTTAGCCTATAAAAATAATACTTTGGATGGCACTAAGCACATATGAGACAGCCCATACACTAGATGAGCATGCACAGAATGCATTCACAATACAGCAAGAGCAAAATAGATAGATAGATAGATAGATAGATAGATAGATAGATAGATAGATAGATAGATAGATAGATAGATAGATAGATAGATAAATTAATAAATAAACAAATAAATAAATAACATCTTCCAAATGAATGAAATGGATTACTCCATCTTTCAACAGGCTCTTTAAAAAAACTATTCATGATACATCACATATAATAAAACAAGAGACAGCAGTGAAGAATATAGCATTCACGCTTATCATAATAATAATAATACAGAACTTTTATGGAGTTTGATTGAAACGCTCTTATAAACAAAATAATTTAAAACTGATATTAAATGTATAACATTTTTAATCGCTCAAAATATCCTGCAAAATAAATCTTGCAGATAATTATATTCTCAAGAAAAACCACACAATTTCTAAATTATAGGAAAGTCTCTGGCTAAAATCCCTAAATTTAAGACTGATTTAATGACTGTATGGACTTATTACAAAAATCAACGGTTTCACTTAAGCATCATAACAATAGTCACATATAGTAAATGATGCTTTTATTATAAGGAATGTACACAATTATAAGGCGACAATTATCAATCAGGATTATAAAGCTATTGTTTTCTGAATTTGAAAACTTATAAACATGACAAGTAGGGAACTCATTTAAAAATCTAGCCTATATAAAAATAATACTTTAGATAGTACTCAGTAAGAGAATACCCATACACAAGATGATGATGATGTACAGAATACCTTCTCAATACAGCAAGAGCAAAAACTAAATTAAATAAACAAATAAAAAAAACAGCTCCCAAATGAATGAAACTGATCAACCCATCTTTCAACAGGCTCTTTAAAAAACAAACCATTCATAATACATGATACATTTTAAAAAAAGAGGCAGTGGTAATAAATATACAGCGTTCACACTTATTTTTATTTATCCTTAGTAATCTGTAGGCAGCACAAAAAGACCACCATTTAAGTGTTTTTACTAAAGTGATCATAAAGTCTCACAGGCAGCAATTTTCATCATAAGAAACAAAATAAATAAGACGTTCTCAAGAATAACAGAGAGCTTCTTCAGAATTCTACATTTACGAGAAACTCTAAACTTATTTCTTCAAAAGGTTTTCATGTATCCAGAGCCTGAATACTATGTTTACTCAATGACACACAGAGAAAAAGAATAAAGCATTGTTGGCTATTGATTAAGAAGACATTCTTGAAAGTCTAACAAAAAAGAAGGATGTGTTCAGAAATATGGGTGAGCTGAAATCAATTCTTCATAAATGGACACACGGCGCCTTTGGGGAAAAAAAAAAAAATCTCCAGTCAAGGTTGAGAGAGCAATGAGTGCATGGAAGTGGGCCAATCTGGGTTAACATGTGGCAGAGGTAATCATCCACTTGTGAAAGTGATTTTCAGCTCACTCTCTGACACCTTTCTGATACACATGATCCCATTTAGACGGCAACAATGGAGAGGGAACGCTGGGTAAAAGGACCTACGGGTGAATGGGTGCGGTGCAGGCACTTTCCAGGCGACTTCAGCTCACTTTATGCCAGCGGAACAATATTAATAATAATAATAATAATAATAATAATAATAATAATAATAATAAAGCACTTTATTTTAGACAAGTCTAACATTATTGCTGCTAGTTCAAACGACTTGTTTTTATATTAATTATTTTATTTTTGTAATTTCTTTTACTTAAATTGAGTTGAAACAACACAATTTTAAAGTTTTTTTGGGGGGAAAAGTTAATTGTTTTATGTTCAATCTATTTAAATTTTTAAAAACTAACTCAAAAACTTAATTCTTTCATGTTGTCCCAACACAAATCACTTGCGTGAAACCCAATATTTTTACAGTATGAACTGTAAAATAAAAATGTGTCGAAAAGTCATGACAGGAAATGTTCATATTTTATTTTAACTTATTTTAATGAGCTATATTTTAGGTATTTTTTATATTATTTAAAGTAATAAAAAAGTTCTATCTAATATATATATATATATATATATATATATATATATATATATATATATATATATATATATATATATATATATATATATGTATATATATAT